CCCTTCGCTGTTTCTGTCATCTCGTTGCATCTCCTCTCATCTCCTCTCGCGCACCGCGACTAGTCCTTCGTCTACCTGGCTGCTCATAAAACCGTTCCCACTCCATCGCTGGGGAAAACCACGCGTTCAGCGACCTACAGCCGCTGACGTAACGATGCCAGGTACCGAATAACGTCGAGAAGAAAGAAAATATATTTAACCCTCGAGCGCGTGTCCACCTCGACAAAGTCACGCTCCGATACGCACGACCACACGCGCGCACGGGAGAGAGCAGTTCACGCGCGGCAGATGCTTCCCAGTCCTCGCTGAGATGATGGCTCTGTGGACGCTCTTCTGCATCCTCGCCATTGTGAAAAGTAAGTTATCTGGTCAAAGCAGGGGGAACGTTACGCTGAGTCTATTATTCGCAAAACAAGTCGTAGCCTACGTAATGCAGGTTGCTGCGCGAGCACAGTCATGTAGGCTATATGATATTGTCATAGATGTATGGAAGCAAACCGTAGCTCTTTTGGAGATGGAGAGATGCTTGGCGGTGGACTATGAATCTATACAATCACTCTGGTGATGTGGTAATATTTCATGTATGACCTGAGTGTTAACGGATATATTATGTCCATATTTTCCTGTAAGTTGCGCACAGCGCGTGCTGTAGCGCATTAATATAGAATCACGGCGGCGGCATGTTGGCTGTTTCTCATTGTGTGCAGAAGTGCTGAGCAGCGGTTATGGCACTGTAAGCCTTAATGATAATACACATCATTATGGCAATGAGCCGCAACCGCCACAACTGCTCAGATGCGATTTTTAGAGTCTCTCTGGGGTCTACTCTTGAGAGATAACATTTAATTTGTGTTTATCACTCAGCAGTGCCTCGCAGGAATGGTTTGGATAGTTGCAAAGCTTGTGTTAAATTGTCATGATCATAAAGCGAGGTTGCAGAAATGGCTTGAAGTGTGCGTGTGGAAACAGAAGGCATGGGTCTTTAACCCCCTGATGCATGCATTATCACTACGGAAAAATAAAGTTTAAGGTTTTCTTTTCAATTCAAAACAAGAATGTAATGATTCCAACCCATTTGTGACTCATCTGTCACCATGAATTTAGGGTTGTATTCTAAAGTGATCTACGTAAATGACCATTTGTTGATACCCCCACCAAAAAAAAGAAAAAAACAAGGACAGAAAGAAAAAAGCATATTGTATAAATATCATAATGAACTGTTATTATATTATTCATATAATATATACATTCCTGTTGCTGTTGCTCTGTATTCACATAATTAAATACAATTACATAATTTATTTTTTGCATTACATCATCATGTAAATATTCCTATAATATTATAAGATAATCACAATAGAATTTTATGGAAATCTCCATTGAAATGCTCAAAATATACCCATCAAAGTCCAATACAGTGGACAGACATATTTTCCATTGTGGGAAGTACACTACAACAAAAAAATGTGACATTACAAATAATGCCTGAATAAAAGTGTAGAAGATCCAGCTTCTTTCTTTAATTGTATTTTACAGATTTTAGAGGCACTTAGTACTACTACTTTTGTCAGCCATGTTTGTTTTATGTGTCATAAATAAAAACACAGTTACTGTATCAGGACAGTTGAATGATCAAAGGAGGATAAAAGACAAAGGAATCCAAAATGAAAATTTGCTGAAACTTTACTCGCCCTCAGTTCATTCATGATGTTGATGATTTTGTTTCTTCATAAGAACAGATTTGGAGAAATTTAGCATTATATCAGTTGCTCACCAGTGGATCCTCTGCAATGAATGGGTGCCGTCAGAATGAGAGTCGAAACAGCTGATAAAAACATCACAATAATCCAGTCCATCAATTAAAGTCTTGCAAAGTGGAAACATGTATTTTTGTAAGAATATTAGAATATTTTGTAAGAATAATTCTTGTAAGTAATTAGCTGTAAAAAGTTACCTGATGATCTCTAACAATCTACTGTTGTCACAACCGGGACAAAGAGGCAGACAGGCAGGTTAACGTAAGTTAGAGAGTTTAATAAAAGGAACTTAGGAGAGGCTTCCAACGGAAAAGAGTTCAACATAGGGAGTAATGGAAGCAAAACAAAGTCTTATCTGGGTCGGCACTACAGTCCTCCGGCCGAGAATTGAGGAATCCGAGGGGAACAGGCAGATCGGAAGGCGAGGAACCAGGACAGAGAAGCTTGCAACCTTGAGACCAGTCGATGTGTGAATGAGGTGAGTGAGTATTTGAGTGGTGTGGTAAGTGGGTGCAGGTGTCCGTGATCAGTAATCAGGTGATTGTGAGCGGGTGTAGGAGGCTGATTCGGCTGGTGAGGCAGGTGTTTCCGTGACAACTGTTGGTGTAACCTAATATAGTCTAATTCAGTCATTTTAAACAATGTTTCATTTAAAACCAGATCATTTAGATCTTACCACAGTTCACCTGTCAAAACATTTTGATGATGTAATGGTTGCAATTTTCCTGTTAGAAACACACTGATTGAACAAGAATTATAACTGAACAAGCTTAGCATGAAAGAAAAAATAAATAAATATGCTTGCACACATACACACACATTGCAGGCTGGTGGAAATCGGCTTAGGTCCTCCTTTCTAAGTGTCAGACCCCAGAAGGCTAATTCAGTTAATTAACTCTGACTACAAGCAAATGAGTAAAAGAACGAATGACCGTCAGATGTGTGGTGAAAGTTAAAGTGGTTTGTTAGGGTCAAAAAAGAGGAGGGCCCTCACTCCACCATCCCACATCCTTCAAGTCCATAGCCGTCTTTTCTTCTTGGTACAGTATAAGCATGTTCAGATTCTCTTCATAAGGATAGATATAGTACTAGTATATTAGTGTATTAAATTCACTAGGCAGTTAATGCAGTTGCCCACCCAATCATATTAGATAACCATTAACTGAAGAGGACTGAAAAGGTTGTTATGGTGATGAACAGACATGCATCCCGTGTGTGAATGATTAGGGTTACGTAATACATAAGGAGTATAGCAGTGGCCTGTTCTCTCATTAAGTGGCATCAAGTCAGAAGCACTGACCTGTATTACATGTTTAGCTTTCGTTCAGCTAAAACTCAACACTCTTTAATTTTGAGTTCATGTTTTGAGAAATAATCTTTTAGGATATGTTAGTTAAACTAAAGTGAAACATTGCAGATGAAATTTTAAAGGGAAAGTTCAACCAAAAATTTTAATTCTGTTACCATTTATTCAGATGATGAATGACATCAGATGAATACAATCAGAGTTATATAAAAAAATTTCCTGGCTCTTCCAAGCTTTATAACGGCAGTGAATGGGGGTCAAGATTTCAAAGCCCAAAAAATACATCCATCCATCATAAAAGTGCTCCACACTTTTATATACACCAGGATGTCATATATATAGTCATATACACCTAGGATGGCTTGAGGGTGAGTAAATCATGGGGTAATTTATCCCTACTTATAAAGATTGTGTCTTTTGAATAGAAACAATGTTTATATGTGAATAAAAACCTAAACAAAATCTATTGACCAAATAAAGCGATCGTGACTCTTCAGAAAACTTGGATTAAACTGCTCAATTCATATGGATTTATGTTCAAATGTATTTATAAACGTTTTGAAGCATCAAAGTATGGTGCAGTGGATTTTAAATCGAGGGACAAAAATGTCTCAGGTTTTTTTAAATTTTATTTAGGATCAGAACTGACAGGAAGCAAAGTGGGAGAGAGATAGGGGTGCGGGATCGGGAAAGGTCCTTGAGTCAGCATTTGAACTCAGGATGCCCGTAGTGCAATGGCTCAGGTTTAATTAAAAATATCTTCATTTGTGTTGAATGAAAAAAGAATAAACATCTTATTTGTTTGGAACGACAGGAGGGTGAGTAAATGACAGAATTTTCATTTTTGGGTGAACTATCCCTTAATAGCACTACTTCCACCACATTTTACCTAATAATGTAATCAGTTTGAGTCAGTAATATGAAATAATATCGCCGTAATAAAATCTAGTAGATAGATAGATAGGTAGGTAGATAGATAGATAGATAGATAGATAGATATGAACTTGAAGCACATTTTTATTACCTGGCAAAAAATGTTTTTGCAGCAAAAAGTGCTGTACAGGCATATAGTAGGATAGGAAGGCACAGTATTCATAGGCACCCACCCAGCCAAAATATATGGTGAATCAATATTCAGTTCCTCTCACCTCGTCCATTCTGCCCATGCATTAACTGTAATTAATGTCAGCAAGTCGGTCCTGGCTCTGCTTTGCTGAACGTCTTTCTGTTCAGCCTCTCTTTATCAAGGAGGAGCAGATTTGGCAGTGATTTGGACTAAATACAGCTTCGGCCTTGAGGGAGCTGTAAAAACAGACAAAGACTGTTGTGGAGTGACTTACGGCCCACCTTTATCTACCGGCTGATCGATGGTGGAGAAACAAAGGGTCGAGCCCTCTCCACCTCCTGCATTATAACTCTGCTACAAACTCACACCCAGGAATCAGACTTTACAACATACCGCTACATAAGCCAAAGATGAGATGGATGGATGGATGTTTTCAAACAGAGCACACTAGCTGGCAGCGGACGGTGGAACAGAAGGCAGACTTTGACATGGAATAGTCAGGAAAGAATCAGTGGACATCGTTCGGTGTGTTTCTTCAAGAACGAGACAGATCTCAAAGCTGCGGGCTTGCATACTAATCAAATTACATGTACGCAAACTTGCCCATGCGTGTATCACCGTCTTTCCCATTCGCACACACGCATAAAAAGATGCGCATTTTGAGGGGTCAATAAAGAGCAGTGAGTATAGGTGCGGATGGGAGGTTCACCTCCTGGTCTATTTTTAGCGTTTTTTATTCACACCTCAGCACACACACTCCTCCTCGCAGAGTCTGTGTCTCTCCCTTACTTTCGGTTAAACACACTAACTCTCAAAGGACTTTCAAGGACGTTCTGCCATCTTCTTTTAGTACATAAACCGATCGCAAACCCCACCTTGCCTCTCAGAGTGTTTACACACTTGAAACTTCTCCATCTAGTTTAAATGAACTGTTCACTCAGAAAATAAAGTTCTGTCATCATTTACTCACCCTCATGTCGTTCCAAACCTGTATGGCTTACTTTCTTATGTGGAACACAATAAGGAGATTATTTTCCATCCAATTACCACACAATGAATATGTAGCTTTAAAGCTACAAAAATGAGGACAAAGCTTTGGGAAGATGATCCATACACTTGTGTGCTGTTTGAAGCCATACAATAGCTGTGGTTCAGAAATAGATCAAATTAAAATCTTTCCATGGGAATATTCTGTGAGCTGTTAACCCGAGAACTGACTGTGTCATC